TTTCTTCCTTGGTGATCTCTGTGACAGATTTGTGCAATAGGTAAGGAAAGGAGACGAGGAGACGAGTGAGGCTGAATCCAGAACATTTTGTAATGTAGTGATCACAGAGTGATTTACAGCCCATCCTAGGGTGATGTCACTTTTCTTTTCTCCTTACTCGCCATTCCTCATCCTCATAAAGGAATTATTTTCCTCATGGAGGTGGGGAGTTTATGATTAGTTGTCTCTCTCTCCCAATGATTTCTGCAGAACACTGTCAAGGAACCAGACATGTAAAAAGATTATTTTACAGTTTTATTGGAAGAAAGCACATGAGGATCTAATCTTTCTAATCTAGCAATATAAATGCAATTAACAAGTGTCCATCTTGGAATCATGAATAAATGCTGAATGAATCAAAGTAATGATTCTTATTGTAATGCAACCTGTTGTTAGCGTTTTTTAGCTCAGTGTGAAGCTCAGAGTTGATCTTGAAATATGGATGAAGTGATTTGGTTGTATTAGTGGATTCTGAATGCCAGATTAACTGTTGTGCTGATGTCAGTAAAGAGAACAGACCATATAGTCACTCGTGTTGCCAGTTGTATAAAACTCACATGACTATATATAGCCTATAGTGAACACATAATTGGTTACTCTGCCACATGTGAGACCGGGAACCATTGTCACTGGAAGCAAAAAGACCGCAGCTTTGGAAGACACACACTTGATTTGTCTATCTCAGAATGATGATGTCTCATAATAGCTTTAGTTAAACATTATAATACATTTTTTCAGGACTGTAGCTTTTGTACGGCACTTACACTGAGATCACTTTAGGGAGGGATTCCTTAAAAGGCCATTATGGAAAAGAGGAACTATCACAGCCAAAAATAAGCCTCTTAATGTACGTATTTGCATGGTAGCCAATCAAATTAACATAATTCACTAAATGGATTTCCACTGTACTTGACAATTATATAATAAACATGACAAACGTGAACATATAAAAGAAAAAAAAGAAGCTCTGTTTTATGATTTGTAGCAAGGGCGCCGCCATCTTTCAGTATGACAACCTGTGACGTCACAGGGTTAGTTCGCTCCACTGGTAGAAACACGAAAAATAGAGACAGTAAAATATAGATAGTGAAAGATAGAGACGTAAAGGATAGATTCGGTACTATAGAACTATAGTTTTTCCATTTGACATCGTACAGTGTGTCCTCTACTGACCGCCCTACATACTCAAACAGTGATAAAGAGGTATCAGTCCGCCGCTAAAAACCAACCGGAACCAAAAAGGGCGCTAAAAACCATAGGCTAAAACGCGCCAGCCAGACAGGGAAGAGACAGGTAGGGCATTTAGCAACACACAAAAGTCAAACACATCAACTATGCCCATACCAAAACAACCAGAACTCACCAACATGTCACAGAAACGCACAGTAGCTGTTTGATATAAACATCACCATTAACTGCAATAAAGTTCATCATGTGAGTCTCTCTCATTAAACTCAGCACCTGTAAAAACCAGTTGCCCCAACTCCCACCCAGACACAGGCACAGACACACGTCCCGTAGCCTAAACACTTCCATAGCATCTCTGCAGCACAGGAGATCGGCTATACAATACCGTAGCTAAAACGAGCCACAAGTATTACACCTAAAATCATGTCATTCCGCACCACACGTTTGATTCCTCAGCCAGATGTCAAAGCTGATGCAAACCTCCAAAATATCCGGTAAATATTTCTTACCTTGACCCCTCGTTTTCCAAAGCAGTCAGCCAGGACTCCAAACGTTAGATAATCCACAGACGTTATCCCTAACTCCGTAACGTTCCTCGCCGCCATCTTGTTTCCACCATTTGCAATGATGCGTGCAAAAAAAAAAGTTTTTTTGAGCTAGCTTTTCGTTCACACGGCCCGAGGCCCGACAACATGAGAAACCATTACACACCTGTGGCAAACAAATTTTATTTATTTATTTATTTATTTATTTATTTATTTATTCATTCATTCTTTATACCACTCCGGATTGGCTCTCAACATAGGCGTTTTTGATTGGCCGATGTCAGCTCTACCTTTTCGCTACGGTTCTTTTTTTTATTCATGCCCAAAATGTCCATAACACTACTAAACAATATGAACCGATACTATTGGAAAAATAAAAATATTTCTGCATGGCAATTTTCAGTATTTCAGTCTAATTTAGCCTTTGCATTATACAATATATATTTTAGATACTATGGAAATAGCACTTGAGCCCTCTATTGGCCCTGCACTGCAATAACTTACAACAGCCACTTCATGACAGATACTATTGCTAGATAATCAATCTCTTAAAAACTACTATTAGTAACTATAGCCTTGAAAAACTTGAAAAATCTTTAATCAGCTGGCATCATCATACATACCATGATATGGCTGATACTTACCATATCATATAAATGCTTATTGCTGGGGTTGTAGTAGTTTGCAAGAACTGTTCATGTGTATGGCGTGGTTTGGAATATGGTACAGTATGTTCAGTATGCATGCGTGCAGACTGTGAATGGGCACATAATTATATTGTCATGAATCTAACTCGTCATTAATGCCTCCCCCGCCCTCCATTCATGGTGTTGATAGATCATTGTCTCAAAACATAGCCTTTAAAAAAAACTGGGAAGTTATGTAACGTTAATATTTGGATGTAGGCGGTGCATTACTGTGCTTTGTATATTCCAGAAAACCATCTGCATCAAATTTGTTACGTAACTCTTGGGAGTGAGGAAATGCCTTCTTATTCCTTTCTTATCCCTGGACTTGCCTCTGCATATCAGTCTGGTCTGACCTACTACTGCAAATGATGTTTGCTCAAATATGAGAACAAAGCTCCTGACTGTGGTGTTTTAGCAACTATCGAATGATTAGGACTTTCCTTGAGATAAATGACAAAGGCTGAACTTTCCAGCTACATGAGGAAAATAATTCCTAAATGGAGGGAAAACACCATCCTTGGATGGGCTGGAACTAACTTTGACTGGAGGGCAGCAGTGAAACGCCACATTGTCCCATATAGGCCTTATTACAACACTGATGTGCCGACTGCGCGAAGAGCTGAAGAATGGACTCTGTATTAAGAAATGCAATTGTGTCAGTGGGTTAGAAGGTTTTCCTGTTGCACAGGTGCTGTACTCTAACCCTCACCAGTAGACGCTACGTGGTGTCCGGTCAGTGAACTTTATGTTACGTAAACGTCACTTTATAGATCTTGAAGAGGCATGACCGCACAAACTCACTTTTATTATGCCAGGGCATATCAGAGTAAAATGTCCCACAAAAATCCCACCAAGGGAATAAAACAGACAGGTTTCATGATTATGTTCAATAAAAAGTTAGCAATTAAATAATACCAACTCTTTTAAACTGTAAAGAGAGGGGGTAAGCCAGTTTACAGGACAGGTCTGAAATCTATTTTCTCATTAAGACCTGGAATCAGCAAAGCATGAAATTAAAAATCCAATAAGTCTCTGTATAATAAGTTTCCTTGTGTATAAGTAACCATTTCAACCTCAAGAGCACTTTGCATTTACCTGAAGAGTCACTGTGGCATGCCCAGACCAGAGCCTGTATGAAATGAATGTGAACATTTCATTGTTGGATGTAATTAGACATTATATTTAATTATAATTTGGTTATGGTACAACTGGGTTTTTTATTTACAATGTTTAAGGGACCGTGCTGAGCTGCCGGGAACTGCAACATGTGGATTGGAAGTTGTCCATCCAATCACTGTGTTGTTTGTATGTAATGACTTCCCGGTATCTACTTTAAATTACTTTAATTGTGACAAGGAATTTATATCTCTCTAATATGTGTTTGTCTAATGAACCAATGCTGTTGCATCGGGAACACACTCCTACAGTGATACGTGCTCCCTCCCACACATGGTCACACTTTTTTCCCACGTGATTTCACTGTACAAACTGGCGTTTTGTACAGGCTGTGTTTTCCACCGCGCTCCGGCGTCATCGTGTTGGAACAATTCCTTCTGAGTCTTTGTTTCCCATCCTGTCTTTTGTGTCAGTGATTTACTTGTGTCTTCTTTAATTAATTAGCATTCGTTACTATTATTTGCTGTTACTCATACAGAAATGTGGGCTAATATATGGCATACATGTCCCTGTATCATATATGTGAAATTGTTCCAATCTCTAATAGGTTTCACGTATACTTTTTGCACATTTTTATTTTCTATGTACGTATATTTCATGTATAGAAACTCAATATAACATTTGTGTCTATGAGTTTGCTCCCATGTTTTATCCCATGCTTAAACTAATCCAGCCTAAACCTTATTTAATATTCTCTTTTAGGGGCTTTTCAGTTTCAAGCTCAAGCACTTGCTAAATTTATCCCCCGTTCTTACATCTGAATTTCACAGATTTGTATCTGGAGGTAAATGAGTCATGTTTTCTTTCAAGGCATGAAATTCTCCTAAAAGATTCACCAAAATTTTATCTTTGCAGGTTTTTTAAATGAAAAGTGAAGACATGTTTTCTCTGCGCTGCCTCTTGTCTGTCATCTGGGAGAATAGAAGTGACAAGTGTTTTTCAAACTTTTATTTAATAATGTCCATCATCTCATATCCAAAGTGATATCAAGTTGTAAACATCAAAGCAGCAAATAAATAAATAAATATATATAATATATATATACTATTATAGTATATATATATATATATATATACCTTAGAGATATATATATAATCCCACAGGGTTCATTCACATGTAAACATTTGCAAAAGGAATCACTTGTAGTAGTTTGTCATGATGTAATGACTATACCATCCCCAGCTAAACCTACAGCGCAACATGTCCGACCTTTAGAAACTCCTGGCTCAGACATAAGGGTTTTTAAGTCTGCGTGGGAGATGTTCTGTTTCGAGATTCTCATTCTGCTTCTTCTCATTTTCTCACTATGAATATATAATGTAATAAAACCATTTTGCAGCCTCAGCTCTCCTTTGATCGGCGGCTAGTCCGACTCTGGCCCGGAGATCTCAGGTGGGATCTTCTCGATAGAGTCTGTGGAGGAGCTCTGGGACTGAGGGGACTGAGGGGACTGATGCTGGGAGGCTTGAGGGTTGTCCACCCCAGAGTGCATCAGGGGTAAGTAGATGTCATCCATGTTTGGCAGCACAAACACTTTCTGGAGAGGAGAAAAGAAAAAAAAAACATGATTGTGAGACTTGTGAGACATGATTGAGAGAAAACGTTGTGGGTTTGTTTTTGTTCTTTTTACCTGGAACTCGTCCTGCAGTTTCTTTTCAATCCACTCAGTTACATGACAGAAAGTCACCTCCCTCTCCCCCAGTTTGGGACGGACATGCAGATCCAGCTTGGGGGGCACACAGAAGCTGTACCTACAGAGGAGATCAACCACAGTTTTATGATCAAATGTATCTCAAATGTGTTGTGATTGGAATCGGCCACATTTCAGTCCAAGGTGAGGTGAGAGAAGTGAGTCACACCACAGTTTCAGTGCATTTATAACATGCAGTATAAAGTAGAGGCTAAAAATCTCAATGTCTATATCCAGAGCCGCTAAACTAGCAACACATTTTTATTTACTAATTAATGAATGAATGAATGAATTTATCTATTTACTTCCTTTATTTTAGAAGTGACAAGTTCTTTTTTTTATATTTTTCTCCTCTTTCAGTATTTTTCTGTTTTACAAATTTTTATTGGCTTGTTCTTTTAACCCTTTATTTTCTACATTCCCTCAGATTACAGTTTAATGGCATTTGTCATGGACAGTGAAAACACTTCGGTGTTTGTTTTGCTTCAGTTTAGTTCTATGTGCAGAAAAGATCATCCCCTCTGTTTGTGTATTTACCTGATGCAATAAAATTCAAGGTTAAAAACGTACACATGTAAAAGCATGTCTTCATTTCCTTTATTTTGGTTTGAGCACTGACTCTAAATGAGTTTCTGCCTCAACATTTTCATACCATGCATTTTTTTTTGCTTCTATGTTCTTATGCTCCAGCATTCGGTTCATACCATATCCTGTCAGTAGGGGGTGGCGGGATGTTGATGACCAGAGTCCCTGACAGCTCCTGAACCTCCACAGTGAGCAGCAGGGGCGTGTTGGACATCTCCTCAAACTTCTTCTTAATGAACTCGTTCTCTGTCGCCTTCTGGAAATACTTGGATTTAGTGATTTTGTCCACAAATCTCAAAATCTTCCTCCCAGTCCTGCCTCCCCCTGTCCTGTAAGAGAAGATTAGAGGAGAGGAGAGGAGAGGAGAGGAGAGGAGAGTGTTAGTATGATTCCGCATTTGTCCGTAGATTTGGTATTCAGATGCAAAAGTCAAAATTTGAGCTGCGACGCTGAAATGTAAATGACAGCGACAGCCATCTGGAGTGTGATGTCAGCCCAGTTTATTTTCTGCTTCAAAAACAAAGTGAGTATTCACAACACAGAAGGGTAGAAGTAACACTGATGATGGGGGAAGTTACTTGCTTGCTTATGCAGTTAATGCATCTGTAATATTCTTTAATAAATGTAACCTACTTACATCATCTTCTTTCGGTGATGAATGAAAAAAGTCATATAGTTATTTAGCCTTTTGTACGAAGGACACACATACAGACACATATAAGCAGCATTTGTGTGTGATAGTACTCTACCCTTCAGCTATAGGTGTGGATCCCTTCTCCCCCACCGGCCCCTGAGGCTCGGAGAGAAGCAGCTCCTCCTCGTCAGATGAACCGGCGCTGGAGGACTCTTCATCACTGTCCGCCAACACAGTGAGGATGGGCCTGCAGCTGGGAGGATACACAGGCTTCAGTGCTACTGTTTCATTTGCATCCTGATGCTGAAGTTTCAGGCGTTTCTCTTTGGCACGAAAAAAAAAAAAAAAACACATTTCGCAAACGTATCACGAATGCATGTTTTTTTTATCTCCATGTAAAGCTGCACCGCAGCTTTGCCTGGACTTTAATCCCTCCCACCGTGGATCTATGACAGGCAGCTCTACGCTAATAAACATAATGTGAGGCTCTGCTCTGTAGATCAGAGACACGGGGGATCAGAGGATAGAAAGAGGGATGTGCAGGTGTGTGTGTGTCTGTTGTCAGTGTGTGCTATGATAAGAATGAAAACACAGGGTTTACTGTTATTTCTGCTATCACTCATAGTACAATGAAATATACCAGACAACAGAAACACTGAGAGGGCACTCCATAGGTTTTACACATAAAGGGCAGCGAAGAGTAAAACTCGGCCTGTGAAAACAGCTGTAATGTCTGAGGGAGTTTCTTTCTAAAGAGAAAATATCTCTGATGAAATCATGAGCTAAAGACTTGCTTTGACTTGCATTATGGGGATTGTAGGCTCCAGCTGTTTTTAAAGGACAACCACTTTAATACATCTGAGTCTATTAAGCCATTAAAGTAAATGTTGCAGGACATAAAAAATACCGCAGCTGCAAACAGAGAATCTCATCTGGTTATTTTGTTTCAGCAAATGTAAAACATCACAGTGCATATAAATATAAAAATAAATACATTGTAAAAGAAAACAGGGCTCACTCCTACCAGTGAAAGACACCACTACTATAAAGAACCATAGTTACATTATTTTCAGGCATAAAAGGAGATTTGGGGAAACACAAAGAAGTTAAACCAAAAAAAAAATGCTTCAATTGTTCATTAAAACTGTTACGAAATAGTATAAATGTTGATAGTTGTTGATAATTGTGGTTGTGTGTGTGTGTGTGTGCTTGTGTGTGTGAGGTGCTAACCGTGGGCTACCAGTTTCAGTCATACAGTCTGGGTCCTGGCCGCTCTCTTTGCCCAGCTTGGACAAATTGAATTTGGTCTGCAGGGTCATCTGCAGGGCACCGGTGTAGACCAGCTGCAGCTCCAACCACAGGCCTGTAGGGGGCAGCACTCACAGGTCAACGCCACACCACCCAAATTATGACAAAGCTCATGCACACAGCCAAATCTGGAGACACACACACACACACACACACACACACACAGAGTTTAGTAGGCAGATTAAACAGCTTTTACTGTGATTATCAAGCCTTGAAATTAAATTCATAATAAATTACGACAGATCATAAATCCCCTTTGGAGACTGACACATGTGGACCGAGCAGGAGAAACACGGAGAAGCTAAAAACAGGATCACTTGTTGACTGGCAGTTGTGTAACGACAAAGTGGGCGGGAGAAACAGAGACTGACACACTTAAACTCCGCCTGTCATTAGGAGTGTTGCCTGCCAGACTGGCAGATTTTAAAACACATACACACTCAGACATACACACACACACACACACACACACACACACACACACACGCAAGCCAAAATGCTCTAAATGTTGAAGGCCATGGCGTAATGACTCCTCTGCTCAGTGAGATTACAACAGGATAACAACGTCTGATCTGATGTTCTGCAGTACTCAGCTGTAATCACATGAGCAACAGGTCATCTTCTCACTCATCTCCTGCTGTTCCTGTGTGTGTGTGTGTGTGTGTGTGTTTGTGTATTATACTCACCTCTGTGGTTAACCTCTGGTCTGGAGGTAGCGGTGATATGTGGCATAGAGCTGCCCATATCCAACTCAGTCAGAGTGAGCTCGTTCATAAAGTAAGGCAACTGTAAGAAATATTCCACATCACAGTTTAAAACATATTTATACTTGACATTTCCTATGACTTTCACAGTAACTTTAAATGAAACAGCTCGCACTCTGATTTTGCTGAGCTTCTTCTGGATCTTGTGGGAAACTGCGTCGGCCCAGTGCCTCTCTCGCAGGAAGTCCCAGAAGATTCGACCAATTAGAGCGTTAGCCCACGCAGTCTGGCTCTTCCCGGGGTACTCTGCTAGATCGCAGGTACACTGCAGGAAAAGACACATGAGTCAGGACTGAGCAAGGACAAGAAAGAAAGCTGCAGGCTTAGGACACTTTGGAAAGTAGATCATTTTACAGAGAATATTAAATCAGAAACGTGATGCCGTTATAACACGTTATAGATGACTAATGTTATTGTGTATTTAATGATTTGATCGGCAAGCATGACTTACGTTTCCTTTAAGGGTTGGGCTTGTCTCCGTGCTGCTGGCTCCAGGGCTGGAGAGGGGGGACATCTCCTCTGCGGCCAGGAGACGAGCCATGTAGCTAGGGTAATCTAGCAGTGAAAGGCCCCTGGTGCTACTGGAGGTCTGGCTGACGTGGGCTGCAGGGACGCAGGGGACTGGGGGTGTGCAGGGGGCATCCTCATCACTGCTGCCCACTCTGCTGGAACCTCTGCTGCTTGGGATGTTACCTGAGGCACAAACGCTCTGTGCTGGTGCTGGATCACCTGGAGAATGTTTTTCTCTTTATTCTCGGTGCTTTGGAAATCAGTGGCTTTTGGTTATGACAATCATTCACAGAAAAAAGGAAGAAAGACGCAGGAAGGTGCAAAGCAATTTTTCCAGTTGCAGTGAGAAAACGATAAGCTTGTGCTTTATTCACTTTCTTCCTGAGAGCTAAACAAGAAGCCTCATGTATAAAGTCCTGTATGCTAAATATTTTTGCTACAAAAACCAGCGGTAGCTAGGTTAGCATAAAGACCGGAAAGAGAGGGAATTAGCTAGCCTAGCGCCTTCGAAGAGTAAATGTTCAAATCTGCCTAACAGCACCTCTAAAGATAAGTAATTAAAAAATGACATCTCATTTGTAAAATCCATTTAAAAACCAAATTGTAAAAATAAGTCATGGTTTTACAGGGAGTAGCCTAGCTAGCACTACCGCTAGTAAGCTAGTGGGCATGTTTACCGCTGGCTGACCACTACTACTACTTCTGTGAGCGTGTGACGTTTTAATGGAGACATTTCAGGAGGAGGTTCCTATTAGAAATGAGGTCTGTTGTCTTTTTTATAACAACAGCATCGTGCTGTGTCCTCTTCATTATCTATAACAGACCCATATATTTAAGAATTTGACGGAAAATTCTGCTGTTACAGAATTGTAATGTAGAAATGGTAACGATTAATGAATGACTGTTTGAATTCATATTCACAGTGGATATATTGTCATATTTTGGAAGGAATAGACTCGTCATAATCATAATTTTACATTCAAAAATCTTTTGCAACGTTTGAATCACAATTTGTGCTTCACTGTGTTTTTCCTTTTGCTGTACGGAGCTGTGTTATGCGCCTCGTCACAGTTTACTTTCTGTGACCACACCAGTAGACATGCAGGCAGGGCCACGGAAAAATCGCCACCCTACGCCTTAGGTGACCCCCGTTGGTCACATGACCCTCGCCTTACAGGTTGCAGTGGGGCCGTGAAGAGTCTCAAATTTTGATTCGATTTTTCAGGCTTTGCTGTTTCCCGCCCTATTTCCAGTCTTCATGCTAAACTGATAAAATAATAGGATGGAGAATTTAGCTCAAAAGTTAACATGAGAGTCGTAGAAATCTTCTCATGTAACTGTCAACTATTTAAATCACTAAATTACAGCCTCTTGTCCTTCACACCTCACCATGCATTCCCATGAGTGCAGCAGAGCAGCGGTTTTTAATAGTACCCTCAACTAATGCATTAAACAAGAGTGTAGCAATGGGAAAAGGAAGTGTGACGATCAAATGACAGATTATATGTACTCTTCACACTCTTTACTTCTCTTCAAAAATACTGTCTCTAGATTATTTTCTTGATGCCATTGCCCTGTCAGGTCACCAAAGAACTGTGAGATCTGTGTGTTCCCTCGAAAGGGATTGGCTTTGAAATGCAAAGAATTGGAGCATGTAATCCATAATCCACACACATAAAGCATTTGTATAGATGCCTTATCTAGAAGGCTTCTCTTCTCTAATGCATTATTAACGTTTTTCATACCCGATCTGGACACACATCTGCCAGGCCTCTGTCTGTCCCTCTCGCTTTCTCTCTCTGTATCTATGGAGGCAAACAGGAAATGACGAAACCATTCTTCTTTCTCTCGTCCTGTGCGGCCGAAGAGGTAAAGAGTGGTGGGAAGGTCATGGACGGGTTTACAGGAACTTTGTTTTGGACTTGTCGGTTCAACTCCTCCTGGCTCCTCTCCCCGACTCTCCTCCGATCTTCCTCCCTCATCCTCCTGGGAGTTTCCTCCCCCAGCCAGTTGGATGCAGATGGGATACTTCGGGTTCCACACCCTCTTCTGTGCCAGCACAGATGGCAGCAGGAATACCTTTGGGGAACAGTGACAGACCTTTGTTGTGGCAAGGTGAAAGACGACTGTTAAATGGGCAATGCTGTCACATATCCCATTTATGAATTATTAATTAATGCTAAGGAGTTTAATCAATATCAGAAGTAGATTAAACAGTTTCTTTCCAGTTAAACTTTATTTCAAATAAGCTTTAGCATTGTACTTGACCTTGGATGACACAAAGTCAGAAGTAAGTTAAGTTTTATTTTCCTTAGTATATTCCATTAAAAAAATAAAATAGCTTCAGATACAGTTTGAATATTTCCTTTACGAAATGACTTAGATGGCAGCTGTACCTTGCTCTTCGCCAGCTGAAAGCAGCGTGACTTGACGAAGGTGGCCTCCTGGACTCTTTCGTCGTACGTGGCCCTGCGGCTGATGTTGGTACGTGGGGAGTCCAGACGGAGACAGGAGCCCTCCAGGGTGGCAAACACGGAGTGAGTCAGAGCTGGATGGTAGGTTTCTGGGTCGTACTCGTGTATCTCATTCATCCACCCCTGGAAAGACAGAAGGCGAGTGTTGATTTATATAAACACTGCACACAGTTTCAAGTGAGTAATAAATACTTGATCAGCCTGTAAGTGAAGTACAGAGCAAATGTGATTGTAATTGTAATGTTTTTTCCGTGACAGATCCAAGGAGGCTGATCCAAACTATCAAATGGTGAATTCACCTCTGTGTATTTCAACATGATTGAATTTTAACATTGACAGTTAAGGTGTCAGAGCAGCAGTCAGTATTATAATGTCAGTGCTGGAGAATATGTGTATGAGTATAACAAAAATGTGTTTCGTTGAAGGGACATGGATGGACGACCTGGATTCTGCTTCTCAAGCAACTCGTCTTTCCAGACTTTTGGCTGCTGTAAAACAAACCAATCACAGGCCGTAGAGATGGTTGTCCCATGTCAACAAATTGTGAGCAACAGTATAAAACATTCTGTAAGTGCAAAGTTGAATTTATTGGAGCTTTCAGAAAAATAATAATTATAACATTTATAATTATAACAGTTTCACTCATAATTACATGAATGCTATTTACAAATAGGGAATAATCCTAGTAACCTAAATATGACCTAGTATCAGACACAGGGTTGGGGCTGGGGCCAGCTAATCCTTCATTTTTTAAGAAATTTAGAATAAAACTTTGTTCAGTCTGAAATACACGCCTGTGAGCTTAATGCTGTCATACAATCCTTGACGCTCGATGCTCCCTCTTAATGTACAGCCTGTGTGCCCTCATCTCCGAAGTGTGCCCGCAATCACACACCATGACTGTCCTCATTCTGTCATCTGATTACCAGACGACCTCCGAGAACACCTCGCAACCTCTGCCGCTCTGACTGCCGCATCTTAACAGCCCACAGACTTGAAACCAAACCGTTAACGACCAAATAAGGGAATTAGTTCAACACTGAGACAGTAAACCGCTCCTATTCCAACCATCACCGCCACCCTCCAACCCCCGGCTGCCTCGATTGCTGACAAATTACAGCTTCCTCCTGCCTGTATCCCCCACTAATTGCCTCTGGAGCAGACAGTGTCTGGGTGCTAGCTGTCCTCTCCGGTTGCCCCGTGTCAAGCTCAACCAGGAGGAGAACAGTAATTACCACTGCAGCTCCAGCACTTTTTTATTATTGAAAGTTTTAATTGCATTCTGGGCACCTTTATGTAGTTGCATGCCACCCTCAGAAGCTTTAATCTGTGAAGGAACCAGTCAGCAGAGTTGCTCAAGTGACTCTGCCGACTTGACACTGTTCTAGTTTAGAGCAAATTAGCACGGCTGAAAACTAATTACAAGTACTCTTGTTACTGTAATTGGTGTAGCTTTTAAACATGCTTTTTAAAAGTGCATTCAGAAATCAGTCACTTTCACTGAGTAGGTTTTCCGATGGAGTTTTGCACTTGTAACAGACGCAGGTCAGTGTAGCCTGCAGCTATGCTATTATGGGCACAGTCAGAAAGATATTAAATTTCTGTTTGTTTGAACCTTTTTCACTCAAAAGGCAATTTCTAAAGGAGTTCTTGTATCCCTCCGGGTGCCACTTCACTGGATTGGAGCAAAATTGGATGATAAGGTGTCTGCATAGTGAAGTTCCTACTGTCAGAATCCCACACTGACCATTACATAGTGACCATATAACTGTGCAACAACGAACTGAAGCGACAAGAGCGTTTCCATCCACCTGAAAGTCATAAGTTGGAAAAGCTGAAGTCAAAAGGTAGAAAAGTTGATTGTACCCATAAAAACAAAATGCTGCAAAGTGCGAAAGCATGACATCCATGAAGCATGTGACTGTGTGTCCCGCTGAAGCTTCTGCTCCACTGAAGAGACAGAATATTGTGGCTGATAAAAATCAGGTCAGTGTGGAGGGATGAGACGGAAACCTTTCTAAAAATAAATAGATGAAACAAATACATTTCATAATAATAAATATTAAATATAAACGTATTTGCATCATGGTTTAATAGAAAAATAGCAGCACCGACTGAAATGAGCGTTCATTTGCTTTCTTTGGTCTTTTTCTGGAAGATTTGTGTTGAATTTAAAAGAATTAAAAAAATACACTCATTCGCTTGATAGCACTTGTGTCTGTTGAATATTAAGCTTCAGCAAGTACTCAGTTAGCGTCGTTAACCCAGCCTGGTTCTGTCCAAAGGTATGCCTGCCAGATTTCTAAAGATATTAATGAACACATTATATCTTGTTTGTTCAATTATTACAAAAGACAAAGTGTAAAAAAAACAATCTGACATCTTTAAAGGAAGTAATGGGAGAGTCTGTTGATGTTGCCTGGCAAGTGATCAGACGGTTTGTTTCCCAAAATGCTCAACTATTCCTTTAAGAGACAAGTGACAAGAAATAAAGTCTGATGATTCCTCTGACGACTGTAAGTGATTTTTCTCAGATGTTATTTGTGGACATGTTGAGAAATGTGTGAGTGTTGGAGTGAGACAGAGGCAGCTGCAAATAAGGTGAAAACAATGTGACAATTTTTCCTCCTTAATGACTCATCCATTTACCTTGAGGATGTCGGGCTCGGTGTTGAGAGTGCCACCTGTCAAAATCACCTCCCCCAGCAGGGTCTGCGCTGTTCTGTCGGCAGGAGCCGGACGACGAGACCTGGAGGAACCCATCCTAATGAGCAGCAATCCCAGCAAGAAGCCCAGTGCTAGTCCCAGAGCCAGGCCAGAGAAGTATGGACTAAGAGGTAGGATGAAGTAGCCATAAGACAGCACTGCCACACAGAACAAACTCATGCGTGGCAGAGGGTGAGGGGGCTGAGGAAGAGGGGAAGTCTGAGCTAAGGGTGCTACAGGGATTGGAGACCCAGCAGGCGGTCTCCTCGCCTGCCTGTGTGTCTCGATGGCTAATACTTGCATCATATCACCATCTGTACATATTTCCAGCTCCTCGTTATGTTGTCTGTTTTGATGCACGGGACAGGAGCTGCGGTGAATTCTCCCAAGATGTCTGACAGAAGGCCAGTCAAACACAGGCACATCAGCGTCTGCTTTTCTAACGTTCCTCACGGGAGACTCCGAAAGAGCCGTGTCTGTGCTGCTTTCCCGCCCCAAACCTCTGGAGCTGGCCTGGTGAGCGCCCTGGGTCTTACACTGGTGTTTGGGGCTGCCCGCGCTCTCCTCTCTCATGATCTTACTGAACATGCTGCTCAGAGGTTCGTGCACGGCCTCCGAGAGCTTCCTCTTGGTGTCCTCCAGCTCCATTTTGAAGAAGCCCCCTTTCAGACCCTCTGCGCTAGGGGAGAGTGAGCTAGGAGAAGGGGGCGCAGTGCGAGAGTCCCCGTTGCTGCGGGTTTTCGGTTGGGTCAGCTGCTTCCACAGGTGGAGGTTGAGGCGGGAGTCAGATTTGGACTGCGACACCTCGGGCTCGGAGCGGGAGACCTCCGTGGAGATCGACTTCACGAGGCTGAGAAGGGGCTTGGGTCTGAGGGTGGAGCCTTCTTTCAGCTCCAGCTCCGTGGAGAGAGACTTGACCAGGTTAGCAAGAGGCCGGTGGGTGGGTGAGGGTGGGCCCGGGGAGAGGAAACTGGGGCCGGTGGCGGAGCAGTTCCCCAGAGAGCCAGGCGAAGAGGGGGAGAGAGGGACGTGGAAAGCTTGAGACTGCAACCCTCTGTCATCCTCAACAGAGAGCTGCCTCTCCTTAGAGAGAGATATGGATGGGTAGTCTTCATCGTGATCCAGGGAGAAGATGAGCTCACTGTCATCCAGACTGTCCCACTCTCCCTCTGTCCCAGTCAACTGGATCACAATCCCTCGGGGGAGATGCCTTTTGGCTCCAAAGGAGGCTGCACCAACGGGGGAGAGTTTGTGGGGCTCCTGTTGAGTTCTCCCACCTCCTCTTTCTTTATCCTCGCTTCTCCCTTCCCCACTTTTTCCACTCTCTGCCATCTCTTCACTTCACATCGCACAGCCGAGGCACCTACAAGTCACTGAATGGGAATAAATAACCATCACTGTCAGCTACATTATTAAGCCTTGGAGGCAGAACAAATACAAGCAGTGAGGGAATGAGCCGTGCGGGGAGAGAGGAAGGGCATCTTTTCTATGCTTGTGTCTCATTTTCACAGAAACTGCTAACCGGTGCCAACTACGCATTAATGTGTGAATGTCATGTAGTTTAGCTCGGAAGAGTTGTGGGACTCTACATTAATCTGAAGACTAGTGAGCCTGAATCAGAGCCAAGTAAGCACCTCTCCCATAGCTGTCGCTCCACATACTGAATGACTTTTAGAGGCATGCAAAAAATAGACAAGACAGACTTTCTCCCACAAATGTTGTACAAACTAGGGCAGCTCAGGCTTGGATCTAATGTCTTTAGGGGTCTGATTGGATGTCTATGTAGAATTCATTTATTTTATATGGAGGGACTTGAACATGAAATGAAAAAGCATAATTTAAAAGATGCAGCTTTTCAGCATTAAACGAGAAGAGTATATTTTTGGTTTTGTCAAAACTGTAATCTCCAAACAAATCCAAAAACAAAAAACAAAAAACAAACCAAAAAACACAGGAGTGAGGGGGGGGTGGAATAATAATATTCAGCAAGTCATGTCCCTAAGGAAAGAACTATACTTTCTTCCAGTCTCATCCCCCGAGGAGGCGACTGTCAGACGTAAAAAAAAAAACCCGGAGTCACAACCCTCCCTCTGATGTCTTCTCGAGCTGCTTAAAGAGTTCCTTATGTAACGCTGAGATGAACAGTGAAGGGAGTTCAAAGATGCTCTCTGTCACCCCCCCCACCCCCTCACCCCACCCCCAGTGTGGCATTTGTGTGTCAGCAGCCTCGCATGCTTCCACACAGCACATTATACAGCCACCACCTACGGACTTGTCAAAATGATATTAACAAAACGCAGAAGAGAGAGAGAGAGAGAGAGAGAGAGAGAGAGAGAGAGAGAGAGAGAGGCAGCTTGTGTTATCAGCTGTCGTTTTGTGGAAGGAACGAGCGTCGACGGACACAAGCTGAGAAACAGCACGACGGGTCCAAACGGAGACCTTTTTTTACTCACTGTCTCTCTGGGTCAAGTGCACTGCTCTTTATGCACGTTAAACCCCTACCTCTGACTGGTCAGATTTACGTAACTGTATTACAGCGCTGTGTGGCACGATTTCAACCAATTCCACAGCAGCTGGTGGATTCTGACTAATCTGCTCTCACCCAAAATGGACGGTGGGGAGATAAACCCCACAGACACACACATGCAGCCAGGCGGAATTAGACCTTCCTCGTAGCTTTTTCTCCAGGGTGGGAAGAGGGACCATGAAGCTGCTGGAGGTGCCAGGAAACGCGCACGCCACGCACTCACACACACACACAGTTACAAAGGCTAAACTGCTGTTAGGCTAACGAGGTTTTGTCCAAGCTAATTGTGGAACACTAACGGGACAGGCCAGTGCTGCCATGTTGCCAAACTGCTCAATATGGAGTCCAGATGCTGCTGTGCCCCCCCCCCATCCAAATGTTCTTACATCTAATCACTGCAGCTTCAGGTCAACCTTTTTTCATCACCTCATTGCAACTGCATTTATAATAGATTCCCTCATCACAGCGGTCAGCTAGCAATTCTGTGGCTCTACGCATCTTAGTTTACCGTGCTAGCATGCTAACATTGTCTAATTAGCGCTAAACACACAAGTACAGCTGAGGCTGATGGGAATGTCAGTATTTGGCCTGAAAATTTAGATCAGCAAAGGTATTACAGTTCAACCAGAGAGACACACGTGAATGTTTCTGCCAAATTTCATGGCAAAGCATCCAATAGTTGGGTTAGTTAGTCGGGAACATTAGAGTGAACCTCAGTTGGTTTCCGGCCCTGGGAACCATAAATGTCCGTACAAAAATTCTGTGCCAGTCCTTTTTGGATGAATGATAATTTAGAGGTCATGAGGGATCATCCTTCCATTCCATGGCAATCCGTCACATTGTTGTCGAGACGTCGTAAATTAAAGCTCAACCCGTCAACCCTGGTGGTGCTCGAGCTAATCGGATCACCGAGGTTGATAGGATTCCTCTGTTTCTAAGTGATAAATGAGTGATCATCACCGTGTATGAATAATGTGGGAATTACTGATGCTTTTTCATATTGTATTGTACTTTGGCAGAAATGTTAGCTTCAGGATTTTCCCCAGTGTGTGTGTCTGTGTGTGTGATCTCTGCTGACTCCCCTGACTCTGTCCTTTGGGTTTTGGGTTTAACAGTGTTGTTGGAAGGATTCAGCTGCAGCAGCCCCAGAGGCCGCAGAAAGCTGAGTAAAACTACGTGGTTTAATCAAGGACAAGCAATAAAAAAAGGCAAGAACACAAAGAGGTGCAGGGTGAAAGTGGTAAATATAAAATATTAAATAATGTTCTGATCAGTATCTGAATGAAGAGTCCAAGAACTAGTCACCTTGTTGAGCTTCTATGTGCAGGGTAAACCGCTGCTTTCAGGCTCCTGTAAAACAAACATAAGAGAGCTGTTAATTGCCTCATGAAGCTGCGTGTGACATACGGAGTGATCATGTGACGACTGTGGCATGAAACACAACACACGTCTGCTCCGAGTGTGTGACATTCTCAGTCAGTGAAAGTATCGTCATCAACATCGTGTCTGTGACTCAAGTGTGTGTGTGTGTGTGTGTGTGTGTGTGTGGGAGTTGGTCTGTTTGTGTGTTTGTGTGCCAGCCTCTGATCAGACATGAACAGTAACAATCACAGATTAACATTAATGCAGGGTTTTACTGTGAAATCTGACAAATCACACAGCGGGATTACGGGCTAAACCAACATTTGGTGGGGTGTGTTTCCAAGCTGGCTCATCTCCCTGACCCAGTGTTGATTGCAGTTATTAGTAACACCACAATCCCTCAGAGCCCTCTTACTATCAGGGCTCTCATTCTTATGTTTGAGGTCATTTACGTATGAGTGACGAATTAAAGGAAGGAATCTGAATAAATGAGCAGAGAATCAAAAGCAGGTGTTTCCCATGAGAACACCTGTGAAGTGAAGTAATAACAAAGTACACAGGAATAATAATAAGATGGTTACAGGATATGTGAGCTGTGATATAAAGCAGTTCCCTGTTCACCTGTTTAATGCAATTAAAAAGTAATTATTAGGTATGTGGGCTGTGATATGTAGCATCACTTATTCCAGTATATTTACACAGTCTATCACCATAATAAATACGATACAAAATACGTCCATCTCAGTGTTAAAACATTAATTTAATTATGCATTTATTGTATTATTGAGGGACAGTGATGGTGTAGAGAGTATATATATCTATATATCTATAGATATAGGTGTACAGAATAAATATATACAATAAATTCCCCACTTTGCTGATGAATTGTTTCAGTCAATTTCAAGTAAAAATGTTAAACACACACAGTTTGCAGCTTCTCAAATGTGAGTATTTGCTGTTTTTTTCTTCTTCTATGAGATGGGAAGATTAAATGAGTTTAGAACTGGTGGTTGAATAAAACAAACAACTTCATTATGTCATCTTTCGGGTCTGGAAAATAATACATATATATATATATACACACACACACACATACATATATGTATATAAAATACGTGACCCAATCCCAAACCAGTGGGGTCCCATTATAAAATACAAATGCACGCAATACGGCATGTGAGCCCTAACTTGTACGGTGATAAGAGTATGTAACTACACACCTTCACTCCACTCCTCTTACTGGACGACTCACATTCACAAAACAAGTGTGACATGCACATATGACAGTAGAAGTTAAAGTGGTCATTCTTTTCATTAGAATTACACTGCAGCACTGCTAATGATTTGCAAACAGAAACAGAAAAAGCATGCACAGCAACAGAGATGGAGATGAGGTGTTTACTTACCTGAAAAAATAATTTTGTGAATGGAAATGTGACTAAAGCCGCTGGTTGCTGTTGTCTTCTGCTGGTTCCCTCTCCATTTGTGCGCTCAAAGACCACGGAGCGAGTAGTCTCAAAGCTCTCTCTCTCTCCCTCTCTCTCTCTCTCTCTCTCACGCAGTCACACACACCTCCCTTTAACCGACTGCCTGCATCCAGATGTGTCATGCGCTGCCGAGAATCACAGCTCACCAAACTGATTATGAAAAGCATGGCCGCGCTGCATGATAATCCAGATTAAGAGTCCTGCAGCCCCAACAGATGCACACACAAACTCACCCACACAAATATGCATGCGGAGTGTAAACGCTGTCTAATTGTACAAAACAGGGTGACAGCTAAAGTTCAGCCTGAGTGTTAAGTAGTATTATTTTCCTTTGTGATGATGCCTGCACCTAACCAGCACTGGTCAGGAGCTGAAGGTAGCAGAAATATGTCTGTTTCATATTTCATTCATGGATTTGTCCACAGGCAAGGAGATGGAGCTTGAAATGTTTTCATGACAATAAACAAAGAATGAAGGAGGGTAAAAGAATGAATTTCCTCTCTATTTCCTTCCCTCCATCTTGGCCTACATAAAACACACTGGAAGCCCTAGAAATGACAATATGAGGAACGGGGCAGAGTAGTGTGCAGGCTTCAGCTGGGATGAGAGACAATTACCCCCATCCATCACTGACTGGAGGAGGTGTTCCTGAAGAGCACGGTTGGCTGGATGCATGAGTGACAGCACTTACTCAGGACCACAGGACTGTTTATACAGTATATACAGAGTTTAATTACTCTAACACCCTCTCTTATTTCATTATCTGTAGGTTTTGTATTATTATATTGTATGTATTATTATATATACTGTACACTACCTGAAGCATCGCATGACAGACAGACACAGCTAACAATGAGCTGCTGAACATAGTGGAGCATTCAGCAGCTAAAGAGTCAGATGTTTCCATCAAGAGTTGGTGACAAACACACAGAGCCAAAAGGAGTTAAATATTGGTT